GCGTTGCGCTAACTCACTGAGATATACCTGCGTCAGATTTTCAAAGTGAAAGTGGTCATTGGGGTCCTATTGTCTTCAATGTGACCGGTACGCTGCATAAGGGAGGGAGGGAGAATATGTAAATTTTGTGAAGGACCTGATAGTGCTCCCTCTTACGTCCTCTCTGCGTTGTCTCAAACCGCCAGCATTGCGGAAGGCTGGAGGCAGCCCACAAGTCAACCACCTCAAGCCCCTTCGAGTCAACAACAACCTGAACCACTTGACGGGCAGGATCATCTTCGTCTCTCCGGATTCAGTGGTACGTCCTACACAGTTAGCGCAGGAACAAGTCAGCGCATCCGATGGTAGTGGTGGGTGCAGGAAGACGGTGGGGTCACCTAAAATCATGCGGGCAAGAGTAGGGGTCATCTCGGGCCTGAGCGTCACCTTGAAGTGCATCAGTCTCTTGAGAACCAGCGTCAGGAGACCCACCGCGTATCCCGACTTGTCCACGAAGTTGTACATCTGCTGAGTGATCTCCTCTCCTGCGAATCGCCGTCAAGGCACCAGGGGCAGGGGCAGCAGCCACCACCTGCTTTCCTCTTGTACAGCTCCTCGTGCTCGAGGACTGGCGCGTCATACTCTTGGAACCTGACAGCAAACATCAGTCATGCTGTATCCCTCCTCCAGCAGGTCGATTACGCGAAGCGCCGGGCAACCTCCTTGAAGTGACCGAAGAGCCAGTTCCTGGCACGCATGTCTTCGGGGTAGAAGTCTCTCGTACCCATGACTGGCTCCACGGGGATCATGTGCTTGCTGGCCTTGCTGTCTTCCTTTCCCTTCTTCCCTTTCTCCTTCTTGTCGCCCTTGTCCTTGTCAGAGGAGTCTGCTGGCATCTTCGCTTTCAGCTCCTTGAGCTTGGCGACCTCGACGTCGATCTGCTCCTTGGAGAACGCAGAGGGATCACTCTTCACGGCCTCCTTCATGCTACGGATCTTTTCTCCTTGGCTCTTGATCTCAGCCTCCAGCGCCCCCACGTCCACCGCCGGGGCCTGCGGCTTCGAGACTTCACTGCTACTCGCTGGTGTCAGGGTCTGCAGGGCTTGAGCAAGGGCAGCCATTGGGTTCTCCGGCATAGACTTGAGAATCTCGTTCACTGCCTGCTCGATCCTCGCCTGCACCTGATGCTTCATCAGGTACTGCTCTGCATCCTGCAGCGGGCTCTTGGAGGCCGACGGCTTGCTCTCCGAGACCTTGCCCGCAGCCTTGGGCTCAGCACTGGCACCACTTGATGGAGCATCTCCATAGACAAACTTTCGGTTCATCTTCAGCTGGGTTCCCTGAAAGGACCAGTACTCGGACTCAAGGCTAGATCCTGCTGTGAAGGGCCCCTCCTGCGTGGCCGACGTTCTACTCACGGTCAGGTATTTCCCTTCGTACGTCCACTCCATCAAGTCAGCTGTCAGATGACGAAGAAGCGCTGGGCACTACAAAGAGGTGCAATGGTCAGCGCCAGTGATCAACACCCGACCAGTCGGGTGAGCAAGCTACATGCTCAGAGGCTCCAACAAAACGCGGTGGTTTGATCTACACCTCCTTCCAGCCTAGAGCATCATCACAACTGCAGCAACGTGCTGACAGCTGTCTCGTCCCTGCTATTGCCTGCATCCTCCTTCTCTCATCCACCAGCCTCACTTGCTCCCTCCTTCCGAAACTACTCTACATCCCTTTCACGAAACCTCACTGCTCAGCCTCTGCCATGTTTGTCCCTTTCTCCTCTGGCATCCACCTCACTTGCTCCACTTCCCTCGCATCATCTCCAGTATCCTCCCTCTCTCCCTCCTCCTCCTAGAGATCCTTCCCTCCCTACCTCGATCCGCGACCTCCCCTACCGCAACCCCCTCGCCATGTCAGCCCTCGTGTCGCTAAATTTTACTCAAATTCCATGGAATACCCACCTCCTACCCCTTCCACCATTTCCTAGGACCCTTCCTATAGCTTGCTCGCCTACCGTCAACCCTCTTCAACCCTTCCTGAAGTACTTTATGCTGCCCCTTATCAATTGGTATATTAATTTTGAGGCGGGTTTGCAAGGTTTGCACAGAGTACCCCGGGAACTTGAGACCCCCTTTTTCATTTCCAAGTACCCCTAGTATACTGACAGGGCGCAATGGGCAGGCGGTGGGGGCCGAAAGGTAAGGAGGGGCAAGGGGGAGGGAATGCAGTATGCGATGCAAGGGAAGGCAGAGATAGAGAAAATCTGATGTGTAGAGGAGATCTGGACATGATAAGGAGGATGAGGAGGCTGATGTGACCAGAGACGAAGTGAGAAGGAGTACCGTGGTGCAGGAAATCCATGGGAGGTTCAGTATTGCGCTGAAGGTGGACAGTCCAGAAGACCTAAAGATGAGATGGAAGGGTATCATATGGTTGTAGAGCCTGAAGTGGAGATGTAGGGTGGGTGATTTCTTCTGGTTGGTGAGCAGCTTGAGGGTACGACGGAGGATAGGGCGGACATGTTTGCGCTCGTTGCCACACTTGTTGTCGCGCTTTTGAGTGTGTAATTGTGTCAAGATCGAAGTCATAATCAAGTGCGCAGGGTTGTTCTTCCTTTTCACTGCAGCCTCCGGGCTACTGCCGGCGTTGGGCTGGCAGCACAGCATCCAATTCCTTCGTAACCCCTCAGGATACAGCAAAACGAGCACGTGCGGAGGGCTGAGGTCAGTTGGCCTCCATGGAAGGTCGTTGCCTTCGCTGGCAAGTCTCAGGTGCTGGCTGGATGTCATTCCTGTGAAGATGTCTTCTTCTAACGAAGCTGCCTCCTCCAGGCTCGGCAGGAGGACTTGCTCTCCTCTGCCATGCGGAGTTTCGCTCAGCATGAAAACCGACGATTCCTCAGTCCCAGTGACACTGCTGGGAGGCTTTCTTGGATCCGGTAGCAAGAAAGCGACTTGGATCAGAAGAGATCTCGTGACATGCTGTGACAGGGAAGACAACGATCCTGAAGCACATCCTCGAGAATCAAGTCGGCCTCAAAGTCGGAGTGATCGTGAACGATGTGGCGTCGGTGAACATCGATGCCAAGCTTGTGAGAGGGGTGACTTCATCCTCGGTCCCTGGAGGAAGCGACACCATCGAGCTGCAGAATGGCTGTGCCTGCTGTTCCATCAGCGACGAGCTCTTCAGCGCGGTGGAGAAGCTTGTGGAAACAGGGAGGGCGCGGGGCAACCAGTTCGACCACATCCTTGTGGAGCTGTCGGGGGTTGCGGAGCCCTCGATCGTCAAGTCGAACTTCGAGCGAGGGAAGGCAGCTGGACTGAAGTCTGCCCTCGATGCGAGGATAAAGCAGATCGTTACGGTGGTGGACTCGAGTGAGTTCGTGCAACAGTGGATGTCGGAGGAGCGGCTGGGGGAGGTGTCGCGGTTGGCCCCAGAGGTAGGGCAGGACTGTGCAGCTGCTCGAGCTGTGTCGGAGTTCCTTGCCGAGCAGATCGAAGCGGCCGACGTGGTCGTGCTGAACAAGGTGGACATGGTGGACTCCTCGACCGTAAAGACAACTGCTCGGATCGTTGATGGACTGCTCCACGAAAAGAAGCACAAACTGATCGAGACTAGCTGGGGAAAGATTCCGATCCAGTCTCTCTTCAGCGAAGATGCGGAGGTTGAGCAAGTTGCACATGAGGCGAAGCATGAGCACGAAGGTCACTCGCACGACGAAGCATGCCACGGTGATCATTGCAGCCTCCCTCCTGCTACTCCTGCTGATGCTCCTGCTGCTCCTTTTGCTCCGCTCCTGCTCTCCCTCCATCAGCCGATCACTGCTCCTCCTCCACCTGACCTGAGGCATCTGCAGACCCGCATTGTCAAGATCAGTCTCATGAACACCACCATGCTCACTCGCACGACGAGCATTGTGACGACCCCCACTGCACCGACCAAGGTTGTTAGAGGTTGACCTTTGCTGCGCCATCCTGACGCCTTCCGTAGCTCATGGACATTCTCATTCCCACGAGCAGCAGAAGACAACGGCAGAGGAGAAGATCGGAATCTCCTCGTTCGTCTACAGGTAGCCTCCTCCTCCACTCCGCTCCTCTCGGCCTCCTTTCCCTTCCTTGACCTTGATCGGCAGAGCACGAAGGCCCTTTGACACAGACCGGCTGTTCAAACTGGTCAAGAGCTGGCCCATACCTCGCAAAGACGCAGAGACGTACCTCTACAAACTGTTAAACGATCGAGAGTTCATCAAGGGTAAGGAGGAGACCTCCGACGGGCGGGTGCTGCAGCCGGTCTTCAGGAGCAAGGGCTTCATCTGGCTGGACAGTATGCCCACCAGGATTCGCTACTGGTCGCACGTGGGCAGGTACTTTGCGCTGGAGGATGCTGGGAAATGGTGGGCAGACACCGAGGAGAAGCTGCTGGAGGCGGTGAAGGTTGCGTCCCCCTCGGACTACGAGGCCATCATGAAGGATGACTGGGAGGGAGAGTTTGGAGATAGGAGGCAGGAGCTCGTGTTCATCGGGGCGGGGATGAAGGAAGAGGCAATCCGCAAGGCTCTGGACCGATGCTTGCTGACGGAAGAGGAGATGGTGAAGTTCAGGCAGGAGCTCGAGCAGGTGATTGAGGCAGAAAGCAACCCTCGCTTCAAGGTCGGAGACAAAGTGGTTTGCCAGTGCGGCACTTGGCTCCCCGGTAAGGAGGAGGAGGAATTAGGGGGTTGCCTGGCAGGAGTAGAGGAGTAGGTGGGGGGGAGGGTGGGGAGAGCAGGGGAAGGGGAAAGGGAGGGGGAAGGAGAAGAGGTTGCTGACTGCGGGAGAAGGTGTTGTCATCAAGATTGGATACCGAGAGCCTGATTGGCCCATCACCAAACCAGATGCTCCCTACCAGGTCTTGCCCCTCCCTGCCTGCATCGTGTCGATGGTGAATGTCGGTGAATGTGCAGGTGAAGCTGGAGGACGGGACTTTGATATACGTGCCGTTCGATGAAGATGATTTTATCCGACCGAGAAAGGGATGAGCGATGGACACTGGTGGTAGTGGGACTGGAGCAGCAAGCATGATGGGCGGTTTTTCATTTTTGAGGGTGTTTAAATCGAGTTCCTTTCTCGTACTCTTGTTGTGATCCAAGGAGTTGTGGAGGGAGCAGGTATGGAGAGCTACGAGAGTTATGATATCAAGCATGGAATAGAGGAGAAGATAGAAAAACAAAATTGGGCCGGGGGGAGGTGGGGCGGGGGGGATGAGGGTTGGGACGAGCGTGAGAAGCAAAGATAGATATCGACCGGCAAATCAAGACAGGGGCCACGATGATCATAGACTCTCCAATGCCTTGCGGAGACGAGAGCCGAGACTCTTGACCTGCTTTTCATCAACAGCATGATTGAATTCTGGCATCTGTCACAGATCGATGTCATGATGAGCAACGGTGCAAGGTGAAGGAAGAGAAAATGGAGAAGGGAATGATAGCGAGGAGGGCAAAGGAGGGAATGAAAAGGACGTGAGAAGAAGTACTTACGGCATAACTGTACTTCTTCTTCGAGGCCCGGGGAGGGTCTGGCTGATACTCCTCGAACGCCTGGAGCTGCTTCAAGATCGCCTCCTTCTTTGCCCTGAAATGCTGGAACACAACGTCGCGGAAATCCGCCGGGGGGTTGAGGATCTGATGGCAAATTGCCCTGTTGAGGGTGTGGAACCCGACACTCCTGTTGTAATGCTGCGACGAAGACTGGGTGTAGGTGCTCTGCTCAGTGCCAGGCTCGTTGTAGTAGGGCTCCTTCACGAAGACAAGCCCCTGGATGGAGACGAGGACTTGAAGGACTGTGGATTTCTCCGCGATCCACGACGGCCTGTCCCAGGTGCCGAGGAGGGACAGGCAGACATAACCATTCTCATACAGGTTGGGGTTGAACTTGTCCGAAGTCCCAGTGATGGTCAGGTGCTTGACACGTGGAGGAGCGTTTGGATAGTCCGAAGGGAGGAGGATGTCAAACTCGAAGCAGCCGTTGGCGTACGGGGTGTCCTCTGGTCCTGTTATCATTGCCTTGATCAGCTCGGGCCTGCTCTCGTCCACCCGCACAAAGATAGAGGAGGAGGAGGAGATTGGCAGGCTTGAGCTAAGTGACGCTATCTCCGTCATGATCCTCCCCATCCTCCCCTTGACCGTGAAGCTCGCAGAGGAGTTCTTGACCGTACGCCCCATCCTCATGTCATACAGCTTCCCTATCGCCTGCTCATCAAAACGATCCTTCAAATTCACCATTCTGAACTTGAGATCATTGACTGCATCCACGTATTTCTTCTCCTCCTCCTCCGCATCTCTTTCGATGCCCTTTTCCCGCGATGAGCTTTTGGCAAGTGACAGCCCCGCCTTGCGCTTCCGGCTGGTTGTGCTCATCTCATCATCATCATCATCATCATCATCAACCACGATCACTGCGTTTCTTGCCCCTTGGGTGGCTCTCTTGTGGACCTTCTGCTGCACCTCCATAAGTCGAAGGCAGAAGCTCGACATGGCATCGGTCTCCTCCTCGCTCGCTTGCACTCCCTCAACAAACCTCATGTACGTTTGCGCCTGAGCATATAGGGAAGTGATCAAGTCAAGGATACTGGAGCCAGAACTGCTAGAGTCCTCCTCTCGCCCTGCTGCTGGAGCAGGGCGGTTCTGCAGGCTCCTCCTTTGTCTGCTCGCACCGTTGTGCTGGAGAGTCTGCTTGGTGTCATCAGCCCAGTCAGAGAAGGGGATGGGGAGGAGCTTGCACAGGTCATGGTCGCTTGCCATGAAGTCAATGAAGTCCAGGAGGCCATCATGCATCGTAACTCTTGACCTGATCTCCGTGAGACAGTCCACCGACAGCAGCGACACCATCATCCTCCTGAAGTTGGGGGACCGTTGCAGCACGTTGACGACCTCCCTGAGGCTGGAGAAGCTGTCAATCTCTTTCTGCAGACTCCTCAGCCTCTTCCGGAACAATCGCTGCTCTGCCGTAGTAGCCTTGAGATTAACAGCACCTGCGCAAACTAGCTAAGAATGCAAGCGCTACACATGCCCCGCTCGCATTACCCATGTCTTCCAATAGATTCAACACCCTCTCTGGGCTGCGAACCTGCTCGCTGCCTGGTTCCTCATCGGAATCCAGCAGAATGCTGTCTTCCTTCAAATTTCCTGTAGTTGCACTTATCTCCATCTGCCAACCCACCGAGTCAGAACGAACCGCACCAAACCTCCAAACCGCAAGCAAAGAAATTTTCAATGCATTGGTGTCTTGTTGTTGTTAATACCACCTCGTCCTTTTCTCGTCCTTGCCTCTCGGTCGCATCAACCATGGAATTCCTCTTGTGAGTTGCTAATCTCTGCCAATCGACCCAAGTCAACTATTCTTTTTGACCTTTCTAGGTCATCTCTACCATCTGCACAATTTGTCGCCCTTTGTTTTCCTCCCCACCCATCTCCTCTCCTCATTCCTTCGTCTTCCCATGCTTGCTTGTCGACCTCGTGGTCGCCATGTGGATTGTTGTCGTTTTTGTCATCCTCTTTCTTCCCCTCCTCCTCCTCCTCTTCCCGGTCATTCGCTTCAAGCATCGTACTTTCCCACCATATGGTGAGTTGGTAGGGTCTACCCCTACCCCCAATCTTACCCCCACCCCATCCAAATCACCCTCATCCATTGGACCCCTATATACCACTGCAATAGTACCCTATCGAGATCCTGGTAGGCACTACCCCTTCAGACACCCACAAGTAGAAAGAAATGATTCTCAGTTGTCTACCCTCACCCCCCTTTTATCCCTAGTGTTTGGCTCAAGAAGGGGTACACAAGCTTAGAAAAGAGTACCCCTCCCCCAGCGAACAGAAGTTCTACCCCAGCCCAGCTTCACAATCGAATTTCAGGATTTGGGAGGGGTGGTTATGAAGTTTGTGGAAGAATTCCCGTACCCCTCTTTCTTCCCGTCAAGACCATCCCTTGACCAGGTACTTTGTCTGTAGATGTGTCTTAGGGTGGGGTAGTAAATTGTTCTATTCAGTAGGGGTACAGAGATAGAGCATATATGGGGTACTCTGGTTGAAGTATCATGTTATTATGGGGTGGGTACTAGTTACAAAATCAAGGGGTAGGTGTGAAACAATGGGGGTGACAGGATCAAGTTTTAAATGAGAAGGGTGGGGGTATTCTGAACCCCGGGGATTGTTGAAAAGTTTTGCGGTTCATGTGGGGTAATGATTTTGCAAAGGGGTTAATTTGAAGGGTGGAGCAGAGAAGGTCGGTTTTAAAAATCAATGGAGGGGTAGGGGGTGAGTATGGTGGGGTAGGTGGTTGGTACTGAAAAGGCACCATGCTATCGACGTTGGTCAGAGGAATTTCGGCGAATCAAGTGGATAAGATTGTGAGCTGAACGATGCAAGTGTAATGATGACAAGGATTTTGATGAAGTTGATACCAAGATGAATCATGAGATGATGATGATATGAATGAGAACGATGATGCTGCTCAGATAAATGTGAGACGATGGAGGACAGAATAAGCATGTTGATATGAAGTATGGCACGATAAATCTGAGACGAGCGAAGAATTCATTTGCTGGCTTCATGACTCTGACATGAACATTGAGTTGTGCCTGTGTACGTGTGCTCTGTGAACATGCAGATAAATTTTCGGTGTAGTTGAAATGGTGGAATGGGCGACAACCGCTCCCATGATTTCGCATCATCGTGGTAGAGGATACGTTGTGTGACTTGTCTTACAAAACTCTTTTTTCAAGTGTAGAGATATTTGCGGACATTTTTTTAATGTTAGATTGTTGTGTTTTGACACCTCTTTGTCTCGTTTCGTGGACCTCTCCTCCTCGCTACTTTGTGTTCGGGTCTCGGAACAAACTCTTGACTCTTGCCCCCAGGCTGCATTGAACGATGCAGGATTCGTCGAGAAGTTTGCACGCGACAAGTCCCGCATGGGCGATGCGCGAGCTCTCGGGGCTACCATGGGAATGTAGGCATGCCTCAGGAGCGTGATGTACACTAGTAGGCATTCTCCAGCAGTGCATTTTGAGTGCAATGAACGAGAAGTGACGATGTTTGAGTGATTTGATTGGATGGACCTGAATTGTGTGGTTCCTTGGCTATTTGATTTCAAATTCTACATGCATACCTACTTCTACACAGGATATTCCAAGCTTGTTGCACAGCCTGTAGTTTGCGTGAGAATGGCATAGGAGATCAAGCTTGCTCACTTCTTCCTCCTCGTTGAGATGTTCGACAAAAATGTCTGGTATCAACCCGCTGGAACAAGGGGTGAGATCAAGCATTGTCGTGATCCCTTAACTTCACCTCCCCGCAATGCCACAGTGCTTAGGCGAGTCGAACTTGGCGATAGTCAGCTGTTGCTCGACGTTAGACAACAGGCGCTGAGATGATGCTTGTTAGCATCGACGGGATGGTACCTGCACGCCACTCCGATCGGAGAGCCTCACGATCGCCTGCAAGCCTCAGTAAGCAAAGAGACAGACACTCTCACGAGGAGGTCAGGGATTGCCTGAATGGTTCCCTTGCCGAATGTTGTCGTGCCCACCAGGATAGCTCGACCTGTCAAGTCTACTCACTCTCTGCATGCTGAACAGGGCACTCGAGCTCGACCGGAGTCTCTTAGAGCCGCAGCAACCAGCTCGCTGCTGGAGGCTGTGCCCTCGTCGACAAGGATCTTGATGCACATCAGACATGAAGGAGCAGAGGGGTAGGACTTGCCATGATGGGCACGTTGGAGGGGATCAGTAAGCTCTCACTGCAGGATCACTTCACTAACCAGCATCAGGAGCATAGAGATACATACCTGCAGGAAGAAATCGTCTGCTGGTGGCCGTGGGTCCCGTAAAAATGCACAATGACCTGTTGAAGAAATGAAAGGAAGTAAAAGGTGGGGCGAGGAAAGGATATGAGAGGATGTCGACAAGGAAAGCAGCAGAGGAAAGAAGCAGAGAGAGCAAGCTGGATGACTGAGGTGGAGCATCTGACCTCCCCGTTGGGCAGGACGGATTCACATAGGCTGATCTGCGAGCAGTCACTTCTTGCTACAAGTTGCTTCTGTCTTCACCCCCGATCTCAACAAGCCGCCCATGTTGCCCCTAGGGAGGGCGCGATAAGGATGGGAAGAGCGGGAGGTGAGTGCTTCTGACCTGAGATCCAGCATGTAAAGATCGATACCTCCTTCTCGGTGCAGCCGGGTGACGGCTTCTTCCAGCTTCAAGGAGGTGAGAAAGAGTCTGTCATCACAATCCTCTTGCCTCCGCCATAGTCTTCGTGTTGAAATCGAAGACGCGAAGGTACCCGACGTCCTTGTTTCTAACGATCCCATCCTGTTTGATGCTGCAGGCCATCCGCATCCCCCAGGCAGCCTGAGATGAAGCTGAGCTGCAAGCTTCACTCACCTCCCTACCGCAACCTCCTCCGACGGCATCTTACTCCTCGTCAACTCGATCACGGAGGAAGGAGGCTGATGCCTCTGCAGCGCGATGCTCAGCAAGCTGCTCCCTAGCGAGCAATCCGGAGAGCAGGAAGAGGATGGAGGGGAAGGGATGACTTTCAGGGAAAGTTTGGATCCTATCGATCACAATCAGACAGCAGTTTGTGCCTTCTTGCAACGCCTCCTACCCGGAGCTCCTCTGAGCTCCTCTTCCATCTCCTCCCTTGTCCCCTCACACGACAGGCTGCCATGTGTCACTGACGACCAAACGACGGAAACGTGGCCGCTAACCTGCTCTCCTCCGTTACGATTACATCTCCTCTCTTCAGCCCTGCTGCGTCCGCTGGGCCGTTGGGACGAACTCGCCGGATCCTGCCCGCAACAACTTCATTCCCTCCTCCTGTTATCCTTCATCCTCCTTCTTATCAACATCATCATCCCCTCCTACTCCCTCTCCCTCTTCAGATCTCTTACCAGAGCGAAGGAGAGAAGCGAATACTGGGCAAGCAATCGTCAAGATAGCAACATGGACAAGTGCGCCTGAGGTACCGCGAGCAAGGCAGGCCATCGTCATCTGAGATGAATAGACTAGCCACGAATCCTGTGACAGTCCCTTACAAAGTTTCCTTTGGAAAGGATGTAACTCTGAGGTACCTCTCTGCAGCGACAGTCCAACGTCCCCTTCCTCCTCGTCCTCCCCGTTGGGGTCAATCACTTGGATCAGCTCGGTAAGCTGGCTTGGGCGGTAGAACCTTGTGTATCTTAGGCAACATCACCTTACGGCACAAGAAGCAGAAGGCTAAGTGAGAACAACTTGTCTGGAAGGCTCGAGACCATCGTGTCGATCAGCCCGTAACATTCATCCTGCCCGACGACAGGAAAAGTTCACAAGGCGACTAGGCAGCAGCAGCACTACCCGGGTTTCTATCTTGCGGCCCCGGATGAGTCGAGGGATCTGCACGAACCATCTCTTAGGTAAGGATGGGGAGAACGTGCAAGACCACGACCTCATCCCATGTGACCACCTGGTTCTTGCTAGCCCCAAACAGCTTGTTCTGTCCACGTCGTCATGCCCCCTTCCCCCTTGCCAGACGCATAACATACAAGTTCCGGGGAATCCAGTCTCTGCATACAGAGATCACTTCCCTTCACATTCCTGCTATCACTTGCCTGGTTCAATGCGTTCTGGTCGATGAACTCTTTCCTCCTGCCGCTCTTGTAAGTGAGAAACCTGACTCAAATGTCTTTCGCCTACACAAGGTCCCAGGCCTCCAACGCCAGTGAATGATACGCTGTGAGCTGTACCCCGCCCTCCCCCTCGTCCCCCCCTCCCATCCCTTCCTCTAACTTCTTGGAAGGCTCCCACTTGCCGTTCCATAGAGGTCTGTCAGAGAACGCGAAAGCAATGTCCCCCACGCGTCGCTCCTCTACGTTGCGTACACCAGGACCGTCCGCCCTCAGCAGCTCGCATGAGCGACTGCTCGTAGAGTGCAGACTGAACAAGAGGAGGAACACCAACAACATGTGAACGCGCAGAGCCGACATCGCCCTCAGGAACCCCCACATGACGATGCGGGCATGGCCGACAAGCACTTGGACGAGAGCAATGAGACCTAACATGGCACCACCTGCGCGCGGGATCAACAGGAGGCGGTAGAGACAGGTAGACTGGACCCGAACGACGAAGATGCTGCGGCTCAGCCTCCGCTGCGCTGCCCCTCGCATCCCTGAGGGGGATCGAAGATCCAATGGGGCAACCGACCTGATCGAGAGCCCCTGACCTCTCTCCAATCCTGCTTCTCCTCGTGCGGATGGCCAAGAAGCGTGGCCTACTTGCCTGGCGGCGAGACGAAGAGCTGAAACCCTGAAGACAGCATACTCGCTGCATTGTCAGCGCTTCGTGACCCGGATAGGCAGGAGGGCCCCGCAAGCTCGTGGGTGGATCTAGAAAAGCATCGCCCGGGAAGCTGGAGAAGAGCAGGAGGATGAGTTTCAGCACTGGCATCCTCGCTGTCCCTAGGAACGTAAGAAGTTACCATCGATCTGAAGATACAATTCTTGGCTGCCCACACAAACTGATGAGCTTGCAAGTCACAGGATTGTGCGAACATGCTGCTACACCAATCTTGCCTCCTTGTGCAGCCTTGCTTACCTTTCTCTCTTCCTCCTCTCCCTCTTTCCTCTGGATCTGCTTCCCCTCACTCGCTGTCTACGATTCCTTCCTCCTCCCATATGATCAGCCCGGACTACTGAGAGCCTGATTGCCCTCGTACAGATTTTTAACTTAACTTTGAGTAAACATCATTACTGAGCGGCTCAGTGACTTTGCCACTCGGAGTGTATTGAAGGCCGGCCACTGGGGGCGGCAGGCCTGACTCTGTGAGTCGGAGGGCCGTCCGTCACGGCGTGGCAATCAGGCCCTGACCTCAGTGAGAGTCTGAGGGAGGCTTGACAGGGGGGCTGACTACTGCGCAGGGGCCAGCCGCTCCGCGAATCGGACTTGAACTTGCCTTAAAGGGCGTGTAGAATTAAAACATTTTACAAGGTACCAGGAAACGATAAGCTAAACATCCAAAATTACTTTTAATCACAGTTTTGAACATGGTTTGAATTTCAACAGTACAGAATTTCAACCTGCGCGAATCACACGCCGTGTACCCCCATTTTCCCATGCACCACCCCCTTGAAAATATGGGACGAGAACCAACGCGGTTTGACCCCAGAATGCCACGGAACGGCCTGCGGGCCGCCCGGGCCGCAGTCCGACAGTCCGATCCGATCACTGTCAGGGTCAAGCCTCTTCGATTCGGTGACTCTCCTGATTGTCTTCCGAAGTTCGTACGGGCCGGAGTCACGGTACTAATCTTTAACTCAGTTAACCGTCACGGTGGAAGTTTGAGTAGTAAAGGGTCGGGCGTCCCGAGTCCGGGTGACCCGGCGTACGGCGCAGATCCACGAGGCGAACCGGGAGGCCGCGAGTCACAGTCACTCGAGTCGGGCCCATGTCTCAGTTCTTCAGTAATGAAGCTACCGGGGCGGTTCTCTGATCACAAAAGAGGGGTGGGGTAGAGCGAGACTCACTCTTGGCCGTGCTGATGAATATGAGAAATGGTTGAATTTGGGGGTGGGGTACTCAAGGAGGGGGTGGGGGTAAACTTGTGAAGTCGGAGAGTCGCGATGGAAGAGACGAGAAGGGAGGGAGGGAGGGAGGGAGGGAGGGAGGGAGGGAGGGAGTATCTACGAAACAGAATGAGAAGATGGACGGATGTTTAGAAGTAGAGATGAACGTGATGCAGGAGGGAAACGTGGTATGGGATAGAATCAGGAAGAGGATTCGAGGGAGGACAAGTTAATCCCTTGCTGTCAAACACGAGGAAGGAAGGGCAGCAGATGAAACATGTACGCATCCACATAGAATGGAACTAAGAATATACATGGGAAGAGAAATCTTTGAACGATGATCAGTGACATCGGAGTTAGGTTTGGTTGCGAGGGTGTACATTTCGGCAACTTGTTGCTGACATGGTGGCGCAGGTAATGGTGAGCTGTGGAGGGTCTTCTGAGCGTCAGCTCCCAAGTGGGATATCTGCGTTGAATCTCGACTGAGGTGGTTGGCAAAGGCGGGCTGTAGCATGGCGTTTATTCCCGGCTTCTCGGCTTCAGAGGCAGGGATGAGAGTGGCCTTGGACGGCATGGATGAGGATGGCCGCTTGACTGAGATGTACCGCACGTCTGATGAGGGATGGGAGGCAGCGAAGAGCGAGTTCGTCATGACGAGCACCAACGAGTGGGGGTCCCCGACCTGCCACCACTACTTCGCCATCCAGTTCGTCGAGTGTGACTCAGTCTGCTGGCGCATCGGGGTTGCCCACGAGTCCTTCCCCTCCTACGACTTGTGGACCTGGTTCAAGACCTTCGAGGTCGGCGAGCCTCCTCCTTGGGCGCTGCTCTTGGCCGGCGGCAAGTCGAGCATCATGGCGTATCCCCCGAGCATAGTGAAGTCAGGAGGCACTGAGTTCAACCTAAAGCGGCGGAAGCCTGTCTCCGTACCCAAGCTAGACTCGAGCCTCTACTTCGACCGGGCTGGACGGCTGCGCTTGCAGGCCGGGGACATCATCGGGGTTGGCTGTGACATGGGAAGCCACAACAGGGACGTGGTCGTCAGCTTCTACATCAACGGGGTCTTGATCCACGACCCGCTACACTTGTACGCCAGCCCTGAAGAGAGGTGGGTGGCGTTTGTGTGTCTTGGCAACAGCAAGTGCCGAGTGAAGATGATCAAGAACTCTGAGGCGACGTGGGACCGGCCAGAGCAGTTCGCCATCAAGAAGGCCGACTTGAGTATGGGCAAGGGGAAGCCGACCTTTGATGGGGCCGGGTGGCTGTCAATCCAGAAGATGTTCGGGGGATGGGAGAGGTCATGGTTCGTGCTGGGATCAGACGACTTCTTCTACGCTCCTAACCCGAAGCTGCAGATCACGTTGCACAAAGGAAAGGGTCTAGATGTGATGGACCTCAACGGTTTCTCGGACCCTTACGTGCAGATCAGGATCGGGGCGGAGAAGTTCTCGTCCTTCAGCTCCACTGCGGGCACGAAGAACAAGAAGGGGGAGGTGATGTGGAACATGCAGACGTCCACGATCAAGTACAAGACGCTGGAGCCTGAGTGGCAGGAGACGTTTGTGTTGGACATCGTGGACCTGGATGGGTGGGTGACCTTCTCTTGCTTTGACAAGGATCAGTTCTCTGCCGACGACCTGATCGGAGAGTTCTCCTTGCCGTTGAGGGAGATCGAGGCCGCTTCCCACAAGGCGTCCACTATCCCAAAGTTCCTCCACCAGTGGTACTCGATGAGCAGGAGCAACTCCAAAGTCTCGTCGGGGAGCCTGCAGTTGTCGCTCATGCTGATCACCGAGGCCGAGACGGAGCCGCAGGAGTCGCAGAAGAAGAAGAACAAGAAGAATGACAAGGTCAAGAGATTCAAGCTCGACTCCATCACCAACATCAGGAGGGGCAAACTGGATACCGACTTTTCGTTCGACTACAAACAGACGCTGGTGAACTCTACTTACAACCTGCGATGCGACAAGCCTGCGATGCGAGAAGGTAACAAGAGAGGGGGAGGGGGAGGGGGAAAAAGATAGGCGGAGAGAAAAGCGACTGACGCCCAACGTCATCCTCCTCTCCATCAGCTGACGCTACCTCCTTGCTCCTCTGCTACACCCCGTTGACTGCGACTGACCTGTCCTTATGTAGAATGGGTAAAAGAGCTCAGCTTCGCTACCAAAGTGCGAGGTGATCGCATCCTCTCCTGCCCTCTCGCCTTGTCTCATAAGTTCCTCAGAGATGGGAGCCAAGGCAAGGACGCGACTGTGCGAGACGTTGAAGAGACCTGTGCGCTAAACATCTTCTGACTTGATCTCCTCCTCATCCTCCTCTCCCCATCCCCTTCTCCCTCCCCCTCTCCCCTCTGCTTGTCTTCCTTTCTTCGATCCCCTTCCTCCTCCTCATATTGACAGTGCATGATCTTATTCATCCTAGAAACCCGAGAGAGGATCGGATGGCAAGCCCATCCTCGTCATGGATCCCTCCAACGACATGAAGTCTGGATTCTCTCGTGTCGCGGTATCCTCACTCTAATCCCCCTCTCCTCTTCCTCCGCTCACACGTTTTCCTCCCAGCGGAGGTGGAAAGCACACCCCCTGTCCCAATTTTTCCTCAACAACCAGGCGATCAAGTTTGAGTATCAGGTGTGACAGCTTCTCGCTGCCTCCTCCTCCCCGTTTGTCTCCTCCCATTTCTCTTCCCCCCTCCTCCATCTCATCGACAACGATCATGATGAATCCACGTCAGTGCACGGACAACGACGTGGATGAAATTGCCGAGGCTCTTGCTAACAATCAATGGTGCACAGTCCTCCGCCTCGACAACCTCAGCAAGGTGACTCCACTCTCCTGCTCCTCCAGTCTCTTCCCCCCTCCCAGCCTTGCCCTCGTTTTCACTGTGGCCGTGGGCGAAGCCTAACAGCGGTCGCAGCCTGGGTATATCACTGACGACGGAGCCACCCGACTCGCTGAGAGTCTTCGGGTGAACACCGTCCTAAAGGTCTTCACTCCTTCCTCCCCTACCCGCAATCTCCTCCGCTCTCTTCCTCTCCTCTCTCGTTCTCTCTTCCCCGGCCTCACTCCATCTCCTTGGCTCTACCCTGCTTGTCTCCTCACATTCGTTCCACCAGGAGCTGCATCTCGGAGGCAACCTCATCAAGGATGCGGGCGCTACGGAGCTCGCAGAGGTTGTGGACGAGGGAGGACTTGACGAGATTGACGAGACAGCAGGCGCTCCGCACCAACACGACGCTTGTCAAACTTACGCTGGACGGGAACGAGATAACGTCACGAGGATGCGTCAGCTTCGTCGCCGTCCTTGAAGGATCCTCGCATCATCCTCCCAACCTGACGCTCGAGGAGCTCAGCCTCAAGGTGACGGTGCTGCTGCGCCCTTCATGCTGACTGACTTGGATCGATGTAGTTGAATAAGGTACCACACCTCGAGTCCGGGAGGGTCGCCAACTGCTGGATCGCAGGGGACGCCTTGTGAAGCAGCGAGCATTGAGCACAAATGTAACGAGATTGCACAAGCCTGAGAGGATCTTAGTGACATCTTGTGTCGATTGCATTAAAGTTATTTGTGCGAGGCAGCGAAATATGTTGTCTTAACATACTCGTTTTCGAATAGCTTGACAACACCAGTAGCCTGCGATTGAGTCAACAGGAATGTTCTCGTCACAAGCAGAGAGCATACAAAAGTCGTTGCCAGGGAGATAGTGAGGACAGTGGCGAGAGCCAGGGGACCATAAGGGTCGTCAAAGCTGCCCTCGTCCTTTCGCCTTATGCGTCTCCTCCTCCAGAAGAAAGTGTTCACTGAACCCACGGCATGTCAGCGCAACGGGGCGAGTGACCTCTGGACTTACTTGCGTACACACAGAAGCAGATTGCCGTGATGACAAGCACGTTGCTCATGATCTGAATGGCCCCGGCCTGGCTCGAGTTCGCCTTCCCGAAAGCCACGAGAGCAGACGCTATTGACCCGAGGGTCACCGACATAGAAAGCCAGTTGAGGAATGTTCTCTCGTTGGCGAGGAACGTCTTGGGCTCGACGCGAGTGATTCTGTTTGGCGGCTCTATCGGCGCACAGCATGCGCAGACTTCCTCGAACGCAGCCATCTGCGATCAGCACGTCAGAGGAGCTCGAAACTTAGCGAATCACGTGGGTATTAGTTCAGAATCTTACAAGGTCAGCATTTCCCTGCAGCCGACCCCTCCCATCATTGCCCAAGACAAGTACCGAGGGCACAGCTCGATCACAACCCCACCCTCAACCAATTCAGATTCCTCCAGCTGTCTCACGTTTCTCTAGGCCCACAGGTTCCAGGAAACCGAGCCTGTTGCGCTGCCGCTCTGATTTCTAGTGCTGGCTCTCGATCGAGTACGGGACATCGACCATCATCGAGTACAGGACTTCGACCATCATCAAGTACAGGACTTCGACCATCAGGGGAAGCCATTTGTCTCCTCCACTAAATCTATCAACAGAGAGTGTCTCCTCCACTAAATCTGTCAACAGCCGTTTCCTGTATGACCTTCTCCACCGCCTCCTTGCCTCTTATGTTCTCAACCATGTCTTACTGCCTCAAACACCTGATCTCTTCCAACATCCTCACTCTTTTTCAACTTTATCATCAGTGGCCCCTCGCAATGTCATCGCATGCTAGTTTCTTCCGTGCTGCCCCTCAATCTTGTCCTTTTCGATGTTCTGCCTCTGCCGATCAATCCCTTCCAGTTCGTTTATCCTGTTCTTCCTCTCTTACGATAAAACTTCTCCTCGCATCTCTTTCTTGCTTGCTTCTCCTTCGTCGGTCCCTCCCCTCGTTCCCTCCCCTCCCCTCCTCCCTTGTCGCTTCCTCTGCATCTCCCTACCATCCGGCTTGCCCACCCCACCCCTCTTGAAATGCCACCCCGACCCTGTCACTCACCACAGAACTACCCGTCATTGCTAATCTACGTCCCGAATCAACCACCCCTACCCTTTCCAAGTAGGCCCACCCCACATTGCTGCACAATCCCGGGCGACAATCATCCACCCCACCCCAGAGGACGGAAGATGTTAAATACGTATCTTAATTAAAATAACGCCGCCACTGCAGTCACACACGTTTGATCAGTCACGAGAACCGCCAGGCCCGAAGGAGAAGTTGATCGGTAGACTATCTCCGACGTGCCTAGCCGGTTGACCCAGCGTTTCCCGCTCGCTACCCCACAGCATTGAATGGCTCGAATTAAATTACACAATACTCAAATTTAAGTTACTCCCACTCCCGTCTCAGTCACTGTCCAGTAATTCGCAACGATTCGTAAAAAAACTAAAAGATTTGAGAGCCAGTCATCACCCCCACCCCCCCCAATTACCATCATTTTACATGTGCATACCGGGTCTCAAGAGACCCCAGATTCCTCGCCTCACCCTCATCATAACAAGTGCAAAAATGCACCTTATAAAAAGGAGGGTGGTCGGAGTTGGATCAACCATTATGACGGGTACTTTGATGTGGTCAAATCCAGTAGAAACCACCGGTGTTGAAAAAAAATTACCCCACCCCCCCTTTCTGTCCAAGTACGTCTCCTCGTCTAGAGACGTAAGAAGCACCCACCCGTATCTACCAACTACCCCTACTATTCATCCTCTATTCTTCTGTGGACAAACGGGGTTGTCCGGAATTTTTCCTGTCTACCCTGGACCAGAGTTTCCTTAGAGCCAGGACCCCCTCCCCCCCCCCCCCCCCCCCGTCCACTCACTTCTTTGCACCCTACCCCCATTTCTCCAATGCTACACCCCTGTCGCTCAAATGTTTACTGCACCCGACGGTCTCCCATTCGTGACCCTGGACGTCTACGCCTCCCCTCGTGGCTGTAGGACCCTGCCGCAATGGAGTACCCCACCCCCCTGGGAACTCCTACAGCCTTCCCTATCTTCCTATCTTTCTTGCTATCCGACGCAACCCTTTTGTGGCGTCCCACCCCGAATGATAGTCTCTATCGTACCCCTCATAGACCACTCCTACCACCCACCCAATGTTTTTCGATGTATTACTTTTTTTAGTCACTTCACTTTCCCGCCGCCATTCCTCGGTACCCACCCACTACCGCACGATTCCTACCCACCTTCAATTACTGAGAACCCACCCCATTGGATTGCACCAGGCAACAAGACCCTGCCATTCAACTAGCATCAGCCACCCCACCCCACCTTGTCAAATTCAACCCCACCCCCGCTGCTCCTAGTATCCTCGGGTACGCCCCTCTGCGCGGCACCACATGCAGACAGCAGGGGAGGAGGGGGGGGAGGGGGAGGGGAGAGGCAGGAGAATCGATCGATCGCTTTCTTCGCGTGAAATGACGTCGTCTTGCCGCATGCCTCTCAGATCTCTTGGCTAGCCTATGGCCCCGGCAGTGAAGCATGTTTGCGGACGGTTGTGAGTAGTGGACGTCAGTTCCACGTTTTCTAGCGCGAGAGCGACGAGGGAATCGAGGTGTTGTATAGAAATAATGGATTAGAATCGGTTGGATAAATGTTCCCCAGCTCGTATCAGAAAAAATACAAATGAGATCCCATAGCTTAGTGTCTGTTCATAGCGATGGAAGACAAACTACAAAATGGTTCAGGGGCTGGATCGAGAAAGAGTTCAACATTAGGAACCTATAAACTTCTTGGCTGTTTGCTATATTTGAAGAGAATCTGTCGCTCAATGAGTTTCTAGATCATGATGTGGTTGTATCAGGTTGATTGTCCGGCATGAAGTTCGGTGTTCTCATCGAACAGGCCGCCCGCGCGGACTGGGCAGCAAATTACGTCAACTACAAGGTGAAGCCTGGATGTTGCTCGGACACGCATGATCGATTTACATCTTCTGACATACCTTAATCAGAGGGCGAAGGATAAGATCAAAGATCGTGTTGATATCCCCACGTTCAAAGCTTTCATCGCGGAAGAATGTTCCAAAGTAGAACGATTTTACAACACCAAGTTCGAAGATATCGAGCAGGAGAGCGAGCAGCTCACTGTCATGATGTCTCAGAAAAGCTCGGTGATAGCAACAAGCATTCATGCTCAATGTCTAGTTGACTATTTCATGTAGCAAGTAGCTGGGCTCGTCAAGAGATCTTGGAACCACACCGAGGACGTCAGAGGACTGTGATGCTGGAACGGTTGTGTGGCTTGATGTGTGACTCAAAGGCTAGGTACGACTTTGGTCGTTTGAACTATGAGGGAATCCGCAAATCCCTCAAGAAGTATGACAAGGTCATGAAGACCAAGGATCAGATTTTGCAGGTACCTGTTCAAAGTGCAGGATGACATATTGGCGACTAACCGGTTTGCTTCTTTAGAAAGTGTATTTTGAGGAGTTGAAGAAGCAATATACCTTCTTCAACTTTAGGACAGACGAGAAAGTGAAGGTATGGTTGTCGTGTTCGACATGACCTCTCCTCACCACTCTTCAAGGTGCTTTTAGAGAAGTGCGCGGCGTTCTGGAATCAAGATGATGCTGTCTCGAAACTGAAGGGAGCGAGGTATTCAAGGACATGTTGCTTCGAGGAGCACGGGAACTGAAGTGTACACCTGTAGCATCACCGAGATCAAGGAGCTACTCCCTGACTCCTTCCCTCTCGTGGATCAGATTGCTGATCAGAACAAGACTCAGCTTGAGCCGCTGACAGAGGAGGAAGACGAGGATGATGAGGATGAGAAGGCTGAGCGACAAGAAGTGGATGAACACGGCCCGCAAGAAGGCACAGATGAGGAGAACGATTCTCACTTTGAACGTGATTTCGCAAAACAACGCAACAAGAAGCCAGGTAATGAGGAAAATTGGTGGGCGAAGGTCGCTGACAAGTCGTCGTAGAATGGAAGAAAATGCTTGCTGATTATCAACTCCTCAACAATGTTCTGAAGCAACTCGCAGCTGTTGCGGGTGGCAAAAGCCTCGCAACTCCCATGGTTGCTTCGCTTACGATGTCTGATCACCCTGAGGCCGCATACGGCGCTTCTCCAGAGATTATCTACGAAGGAAAATCGTTCAAGGAGGTTGATTGGTTCAGAATGGTGGATAAGGAGATGGAATTTGTGTCCAAGGTCACCAATGCGGAAATCATGCGTGTCAGGTCTGGGCTCTCAACGTTGAGGGACCGCTGTGAGCAGTGGAGCAAGGAAATGAAGGACAAGAGTGCTGAGCAATCTGGCGCCCGTGCGCGAACCATGCTCACGCAGTTGGGTGCCTTGGAGGCAGAAGCAAAGCAGCTGGGTTCCGACTTCCTTGCCCTGGAAAAATTTGTCAACTTGAACTACCAAGCGTTTGAGAAACTCCTCAAGAATCACGACAGACTGATGCCGCACACCCCTTGCCATCAGTTCTATATGGCCAAATTGAGGAACCAGGATTGGATCCGTAACGACTTCTCGGATGTCTTTGTGGCATTGTCGGATTGCCATTCTCTTTTGCGTCAAGACGATTCTGGAACTGCCAACAACGATGCAAAGCAGGACTTTGTTCGTAACACGAAGAAGTACTGGGTACCTACGGAGCACGTTTCTTCCTTGAAGCACTTGATTCTGCAGCATCTTCCTGTCTTCCGTGTTTGGACTGGTGGCGGGGACTCTCAGCTTATCAACTCTGTCTACTTTGACAACCGCCAGATGCAGCTGTATCACGGAAGAATGGACAAGACTCCAGGAGCCATTGCCCTTCGCCTTCGATGGTATGGAACTGAGATCAAGAGTGTCTTTGTGGAGCGGAAGACTCACTTGGACGCCTGGACTGGGAATGTGTCGGTGAAAGAGCGCTTCGTCCTCGACGAGCCACTCGTCGTTCCGTTTTTGAATGGCAGCTACACCGTGAACGAGTTCGCAGACGACATGAAGAGGAAGGGCAAGAAGGACTCGGATATCCAGGAGGCTTGCAAGCTGTTCTCCCAGATCGCCAGGGTCATCGAGTCGAAGCAACTTGGCCCGACCGTCCGCACGCAGTACATGAGAACGGCGTTCCAGATTCCGTTCGATGCGACAGTTCGCATCTCCTTGGACACCAACCTTGCCATGGTAAGGGAGGACTGCTGTGGATACGCATCGACCATCACGGAGCGTTGGCGGAGGGATGAACGCATCCCCGTTAAGGCCTCGGAGCACACCCACTTCCCTCATGCAATCCTCGAGGTCAAGCTGCAAGGAGACGTGGAGAACCCCCCACGCTGGGTCAAGGACCTCCTGGAGTCTGGCATGGTGACCGAGGTCTACAAGTTCTCCAAGTTCATCCACGGCTCTGCCGTCCTGCTCACCGAGTTGGTGGCAGCTGCCCCCTACTGGATTGATGACGTGTCGATCCGCGACTCGGTCAACGCCTCGGCTCCCTCGGCTGCCAACAAGGCCAGGACCACCAAGATCGGAGCCATGGGTGGAGGTCAAGCCAGCCGCAAGAAGGAGGACGACGAGAGCAGCAGCATTACCTTCAGCGATGGACAGTCCAAGAGCGCAGGAAGGGTCAGGGCACTTTCCCGGGAGGTTCCGGAGGAAGAGACCCATCCTCTTCTCGGGCAGATGAGGCCGACCACGGGCCAGAAGGGCGCTAGACCCGGCACTGACTTCCTCGGACGACATGTGTCGAGGGCTGCCGGCGGAGCGGATCCCCAGGATCAGGACATGTGCTCCTGCTGCGGACTCGGCTCCTCCCAGAAGACGCTTCCACGAAAGGTTCCTGTCCGAATCGAGCCCAAGACCTACTTCGCTAACGAGAGGACGTTCCTTTCTTGGTAAGTTGTTGCATCATCCCTTGCGCTTCCTGTCCATTCTCGTGTTCATGTACTCACCCCCGCTCTCTACAAGTCTGCAGCTCTCCCCTTCCTCTCTGCTGTCACTGTTTCCATTTCGTGTCGCCTCCCCTTGCTCATCTTCCCCTGGGCTCGACCTGGCTGACGCGCTTGGCAGGATGCACATGTCCGTCACTCTGGGGTCCATCTCCTCAGCTCTGACCGTCTTCTCGGAGGGAGACACTGCTCACGGCGCCGGAATCCAGATCATGTCTCTCTTCCTCACCCTCGTCGCCACCTTCTTCGTTGCCTCGGCTGCCTACACCTTCTGGATTCGAAGAGGAGCCATCAGGAAGAGGGAGGACACTGGGTTGGATCAGGTGGTGATGCCTGTCTTCGTCGCGTCGACCCTGGTGAGCCATCTGGCCTTCTCGCTCTTCCTGAATCCCTCTTCCGCTCCTCGCCCTCACCGCTGCTCCTGCCCCGTGCTCATTCTTGAAACCATCCATCCTCTTCGTCCTCCTTCCCTCCCTCCATCCTCTTGGGTCCTCCTTCCTTCCCCCTCCTCCCTCTTCCAAATTCCCTCCCTCCTCTCCTCTTTTTCTCTCGTCTCTTCCTCTCCTCTCCTCCTCTCCTCCGAGTGACGCTTCCTGTAGGTGTTCTCGCTCATGGGGGTACTTATCACCAACCTGGCTGAGGTGAGCTCGAAGCCTGCTCCTCAGTGAGGAGCCTCGAGCTCCTTGACGTCTTACCGTCTCCCTTGGAGGAGGAAAGGCAAAAAAGAATTTTATTGACTTCACCGCCCGATTCCCCACTCTCCGTATCTTCCTCCTCCTCCTCCTCCTCCTCCTCCTCCTCGTCCCTCTTCCTTGGCTCCTCGCCCGTGTATGAGTTCAATCACCGTCGCTGTCGGGGCTGCACATGACGAGCTGAGGGTCGTCGCTGTCTTCACCATCCTTGTCCTCCTTCAAAGGCATGAGCTTGTCGGCCGTGCGCATCTCGACTTCCTCCTCTCCTGCTCTCGTTGTCGCACCTTCCCTCACGTCCGCTTCTTTCCCAACAGTCGTAGATGCTGTTTGCTCTCTCCTCTTCGCCGTCTCCGCTGCCTCTTCCTTCCTTGCCTTCTCCTCTGCTTCTCTCCTCCTCACTGCCTCCGCTTCTCTTCTTTTGGCTGCCTCCTCCGCTTCTCTCCTCCTCGCTGCCTCTTCTTCCTCCTTCCTCGCCGCCTCCGCTGCTTGCCTTCTCTTGGCTGCCTCCACCTCCTTCCTCTTCGACTCCTCTGCATCCATGGACTCTTGCTGCTTCAAGTTGACCGCATCGGCTGCAGCAAGAGCAGCTGGTCTGTGTGCTTGACTGGAGGCAGCTACAGGAGCCTCCTTTGGCCTCTGAGTCGCCCCTTGGACGTCACTCGTTATCTCCATGGCGTCGTGGGAAGAGGAAGGGAGCAGGGGCGTCCTGCGATGGAAGAGCGTGAGGAGTGGTAAGGGAGAGAGGGAGCAGGAGACGGGGAGGTGGGAGGGGAAAGAGAAGGAGCAGGGGGAAGGGAGGGGGAAGGGAGCAAAAGACCACCTTGATGTTTCCTCTTGCCGCTGCGGGTGTGAGGGAGGCTGCGATTCGATGATGGGAGCTTGCAGAGAAGGAAGAAAAATCTTGACGAGACGTCAAAGGGCGGCGCGAGTGCACGGCATAAGTAGGAAGAGTAGGCGCAAAGGGAGAGGTGAAAACGAGGAGGAGAAGCAAAAATGAGCAAGAGCAGGACAAGCAGCAGCAGCAGCAGCAGCAGCAGCAGCAGCAGCAGCAGCAGCAGCAGCAGCAGCAGCAGTGAGAGACATTTACCGTAGGGGCTCGTGGGTGCATGAGGGAAGGAAGCGCCTGAATGGCTAGCGACGAGAAACTTCGCACCTCCACACAAGGATCCTGCGAGGTAAATCAGAAGGACAAGGACAGGAGCAGAGGCACAAGGAAGACAAGGAGGAGGGCGAGGAGAAGATAGACGAGGATGAGGGAGACGAAGAGGGAGAGGGAGAGGGAGAGGAAGCAGAGGATCTGGAAGGGAAGATGAGGAAGGGCAAACTCACCTGCGTGGCAAAGCGGAAGACGCGCATGACGAGACCAGAAGCAGGAGGAACGTTGACAGGAGCTAGTAGAATCGCCCAAGCAACCTTGAGAGCAGCGAGACGAACTTCTCCTGCTGCAACTATGAGATGGAGAGATGGAGAGGAGGAAGCAAACACGCAGGAGGGCAAGAGAGGAATGGAGGAGCAGGAGCAGAAAGGGAGGGAGAGGTAGAGGAGGGAGAGGAGGAGCAAGAGTAAGAGGACCTTGTTGTCTGGCGGTGTCGGCGAGGAAAGCGGTCTGGTTGTAGGAGAGGAGGAGGTAGGCGATGACTTTGCTGCTGACTTCTCTTCTCACTGAGCCGTCGAGCACTGAGCCGCAGACCATGACAGCTGACTGGAGGAGAGTGAGAAGCAGGACAAGAGGAGAGAAGAGGAGAGAAGAGGAGAGAAGGAGGAAGCAACGAAAGTGGAGCGAGCTAGAGGAGAGAAGATGGGGACGTCAGGAAGTGAGGAGATGAGAGAGAGGGAGAGCAAGAGGGAGAGACAAGAGCAGCAGGAGAGGAGGTGGCAATGGAAGAGGAAAGAGAGGTAGGAGGAAGGGGAGAGGGAGGAGGGGGTGAAGGGGGAGGAGGGTCAGACCTCTATCAGGTGAAACGAGGCTGAAAGAAGCTCGGGAGCAACGGCAACATCTGTCTGCTCCATCATCGTCTGACTTGAGCTCTTGCCCTCCATTTTCGCTGTCCTCCTCCTCTTGTGCGCCTGCCATGCCCGCCAATCGTTAGTCCCTCCAACAGGCAAGACGAGGACGAGGACGAGGACGAGGACGAGGAGCCTCAAGCAACGAGATTTCTCTTCATGCTTCTCAGATAGCAAATATTCAAAAGTTTTGTGTCTCTCACTGGCTTCTCAACAGAGGTAGGAGTAGGAGGGAGGGGGGGGGGGTGGACGAGAGAAGAGGACGAGGGACAAGCAACAAGGCAGAGGAGGAGGGGGAAGGAGGAAGGGGAGGCGGGAGAGGGGGAGGAGAAGTGGGAGGAGTTTTACCCTCTGAACATTCGCCTGCACGCTACTGGTCATGCCGCTGATGGAGGAGGAAGCAGCTTCTACGACATCTGCAGCTATAAGAAGAACTTCTCGACAGAAAATCTTCTCGCAGCTGACGCCCCACTGCCATGTCATGTCAGGGATACTGCCTTCCTCTACCAACGAAACCTCCTTCTCCTCCTTACATCTCCTCCTCCTCCTCCTCCTTCCCCTCCTCCTTACATCTCCTCCTCCTCCCTACAATTCCCCCTCCTCATACCTCCTCTTCCTCTCACCCGTCCTGCAAGCCCACCCCCTGATCCCCCTCAGTCCCTCTCCCCGCTCCAATTCCTCCTCCTACCTCCGTCAAACAGCATGTCGCTGCGTCCAACAGGGTCAACGTCATTCGTAAGTTTCTGCGGTCACAGTCAAGTCCTCCCCTCCCTTCCCATCCCTTCCCTTCCCTTCCCTTCCCTTCCCTTCCCTTCCCTTCCCTTCCCCTCCCTTCCCCTCCCTTCCTCTTGCCTCCCTCACCTTCGCTGCAGCATGGAAGTCTTGGACATGGCAGACAGCAGGCAGGAGGAGATAATCGTCATGAAACACAAGCCGTGACGCCGAAGCCTCTTGACCAGCGACATCTGAAAAACATCCAAAACATCATCATCATCATCGTCGTCGTCTTCATCATGATCATGATCATGATGATCATGATAATCATCATCATCATCATCATCATCATCATCATCATCATCATCATCATCATCATCCTACCAGCAGCTCGAGCGCATGGCTCTGTATCTTTGACACCACCAGGCTCGCCACGTCAGGGCTCAGCAGTGACTCGTGCGCGAAGCTTCCTTGCTCCGCCATCTTCTCCTCCTCTAGCATGAACACCTACCACCCCTTTCTCAGACCCCCTCCTACACCCCCCTTGCCTCCTCCTCGCTGCCGTACTCGCTCGACGGCAGTGATGATGCGCAGGGCCGGAATGCCGCAGTCCGGGTCGAGCTGGAGGCGACCGAGGAAGCAGGAGCTCATTGCGGCGGTGAGGCCATGGAAAAGATTCGCCATGGCAAGGGAGAGCTTGAAACGCTCCTCCTGCCTGCTCCTCCTTCCTGTCCAGCTGTGAGGGGAGGAGAGCAGAGGCAGGGGAGGGGCGAGGAACGGGTAACCAGCAGACGAGGAGGAGAGAAGAAGAAAAGTGAAATGCGTTATGGGAAGAGGGTGGGGGGTGACAGAGGGGGATAGCAGAGGAGAGACGGGCGGGGGGAGGAAGAGGAGGAGGAGAGGAGGTGCAGGGGAGGAGGAAGAAGAGAGGGAGGGGGGTTACCGTGTCGCTGGAAGAGGGGGGTAAGAACTTCTAGGGATGAAAGGTTTTCTTCTCTTGGCCCACTGGAGCCTGTAGGGACAACGAGGAACAAGGTCAGTGTTAAGACAGCCCATCGCTCCTCTCACGCATATCGCTCCACCCCCCTGCTTCGCTATCTCATCACTCCCTTCCCTCCCTCCCTCC